TTTTTTTTCCAGCCGGGTTACTGTGGCACCGGGGTTCGGTTACAGCGTCACACCGGCTGGACGGAGGAGGGTTCACTCCAGTCCTGCTGCTCCCTGAGGCTGGATGGAAGCTGGGCTGAGCGGTGAGTCCTGCTGGAGCTCTGCTGTGGCTTCATGTGGCTTCACGTCCTGACGGGTCTCCTGGACATGTGGATCTCTGCTCGTCTGCTTTTGTCTTGTGTGAAGTGGAATTGTAAGAAAAGAAGTGGGAAGTGCTTCCTGTTGCTTTAATTGCAAACAAATGCTGCAGCTCGTCACCTCTTCTGTTGTTGGATGTTTCCTGCGCTGTGGAGGAACGAGCTGAGCGTCCGGCCTGGTGGTCGCTGGACGTGAACGCACCTGGAGGCTCCTACCTGTCTGCCTGCTGCACCTGGCGCCTTTAAACCTTGAATTATTCATTGTAGGAGGTTTGTTTGTGCTCCACTGCTCCGCTTGGCTCCTCTTAAACCTGATCCGAGGCCTAAATGAGAACTTTACTTTATCAGGATGTCTGTATTTATGCAACACTTTGATCAGCAAAACAGTTTAAAGACAGTTTTGGCAGCAAACACTGAAGCAGGTGTTGCTGCAGCCAAACTGGTTTCCAACAGAAAAACGAGATTCACGTCGCAAATTTACAAAACAGGTTTAAATATTGAAGTTTAAACTTTGCAGTGTTGTTTGAAATGTAAGTTTACCTGATTAAATGGAATATTAAGGAGAAGAAAACACCTGCATAAGTTAGTTATTTAGACTGAAGTTGCTACAAAAATACTAATTTGTCTGAATAAATCAAATATTAAGATTATTATAATACTCATTTATTTAAATAAATTAAATACGGGGGTTTAAAATTCTGCAAAAATACAAATTTGCTTGAATAAATTATATATTACAATTAAAATATTTATGTAAATAAATTAAATATTATTGATAAACACTACAAAATACAAACGTACCTAAATAATGAATTAAATATGAAGATTAAAGTCCTAAAAATAAATCACTTGAATAAGTTATATGGTAAGATTAAAATTTTACAAACAACTAATTTACATAAATAAATTAAATATGATTGTTAAACTCTACAAAAATAGAAATTAACAAAAAATATTAAATATAAAGATTAAAGTCCAAAAAGAAAAAAAATACTTGAATACATTCTGTATTACAATAAAAAAAAATTACAAAAAAACTAATTTACATAAACAAATTAAATGATTGTAAATGCTACAAAAATACAAATTTACCAAAGTAAATTAAATATGAAGATTAAAGTCCCCCCAAAATTACAAATTCACTTAAATAAGTTGAAAATTCTGATTTAAAAAGATCCCACAAAATTCAAATTCATTTGAATAAATTATATATTACAATTGAAATTTAATTTTTTTTAAAGTAATCCATTGAGATAAATTAAATATTATTGATAAACACTACAAAATACAAACATACCTAAATAATAGATTAAATTTGAAAATTAAAGTAAAAAAAAATTCACCTGAATAAATTATATATTAAGATTAAAATTTTACAAATAACTGATTTACATAAATAAATTAAATATAATTGTTAAACGCTACAAAAATACAAATTCACCAAAATAAATTAAATATGAAGATTAAAGTCCCTCCAATAACATTAGTAATTCACTTAAATAAGTTGAAAATTATGGTTTAAAAAAATCCCACAAAAATGCAAATTAATTTGAATAAATTAGTTTCCAGCATTATTAGGCCTTCATCATGAGCGGTACCGTGGACCCAGAAGGTTCTTTAAGTGTACTGATGCATTGGATCACTTGGTTGACATTTGACTGACTTCTATGGCTTTTATGGCTTTTATGGCTTTTATGTCACGTATGATGTAGTTTTTGTTATGCTGACATGCCAAAATGTCAACATGAGTCTGTTTGGGTCATTTTTAAGCTAATTTGGACCGACTTTGTGTCATTTTGGACATTTTAGAGTTACTTTGGGCCAGTTTTGTGTTGTTTCAGACACATTAGGAGTAATTCTAAAGAACTTTTGGGCTATTTCAGACACAGACGTGATATTTTCCAGCCGATCCAAATCAGTTGTGAAATGATAGCGGTACTGTGGCCCCAGGATTCCCTGTAAAGGTATATATGTGGATGTAGACATGTTTATGATTAAATATGCCATCTCTGATTGATATTTCACCAACTTTTTTGATATTTTGATGTTTAAATATCATAAAGCTCCATTTGGACCATTTGTAAACCATTTTGGCCAAGTTATGAGTCGTTTTTGGGTTAATGCTGATGGTTTTGGATGAAGTTTGAGTCATTCTGGGAAATTCACATTTCCTACTAAATGTGTAGTCCTTCTATTTCTGTTTTGACAAAGTGGTGATGTTGATTCATTGGTAAGACCAACTGTCATTATATGTGCAGCGTACCAAGCTGCCTCCATGGTGTCTTCATGCTAAAATTTAACTTGTGAGACTTATTTTGCAGAACGTTCCCGTACGTACCTGAATTCATCCATATATACGCCTGCAGGAGCTTCTGAGGCCCCAGTACAACTCGTTTAAAAATGATTTCCTCTTTCAAACACCAATATTTATTTTCTTTTCCTCTGCTGGAGCCTTTGAATCTTTTGGATCCACTGGAAACTGGTCTGTCTGCGTCTTTACCCAGTTTGACGACTGTGGGAGTTTCATTTCTGCAGATAACGAACCTCTAAATGGCTGAGACGTTTGGTTTTAGGATGGAAATATTGTGCAGAACTTAGAACTTCCTCTCTAGATTCTAAACTTCTTAAAGACTTTCACCTCCAAGAGTGTTTGTTCCATCCCCACCTTCGTCCCAACCGGTCGATGGCTGCCTTCCCTGAGCCCGGTTCTGTCGGTTGCTGCCTAAAGACATCTTTGGACTGCTGGGTTCTTTGTTCAGAAGTGCTGTGAGATGGGACATGTTGCTGTACAAATGAACTGAAATAAATAAAATTAAAAAAGACCGCACTGAGACTGTCTTGCATCCTCTTGTCTCGTCCCTCAGGCCCGACTGGTCCTGATGCTGTTACCATAGCAACATGACCCTCAACACCCAGAGAGAGAAGGAGCCCCTGCGGAGGCGAGGCAGCACCCCGATCCCGCCCCTGTACCAGCACCCGTCCTGGCCCCGGGACCCCCGGCCCCTCGGCGGCGCCCAGCCCGACCTGGAGCAGCCCCGGCCCCAGCGGAGCCACCCTCCCCTGGGCCAGTCGGCCTCCTACCACCCCGGGGACACGTCCCTCCACTACCGCGCCCAGTGGAGCTCGGACTCGGACGATGACTCGCAGAGCGACTCGGACTGCGTGTACCGGGTGGTGCTGCTCGGCGACCACGGCGTCGGGAAGACCAGCCTGGCGGGGATCTTCGCCGGGATCACAGAGAAAGACGAGCAGCCCGGAGGTGAGACGCTGCTGCCTGTCGTTAAGCCCCGACGTCCTCACCAGCGTTTTATGAGCCGCTCTTTCATCGCTGCACTCTGCAAACGTTCCCCTGGACTCTGGTTTCCATCAGTCCTGACAGGGTCCAGGTTTCCCAGCAGGACTCAGATTTAACGCTGATCGGCTTCAGGGCTGCGACAAAGGAAAGTCAGAGGAGGACGTCACGTTGTTTATAGAACTTATTTATCAGTTCACCTCACACAAAGCGCAACAAACATTAAATAAACGGAGTAAAGTCAATATTTAGAGCGAGCGACATTTGCCTCTAAAACACGTCCAAGGTCCTCCGGAGGTGGTTTCTCCAGACGGACTCCAGGGTGTTCAGATCTGTGGAGGAAACCGAGTCCTCGCTCTTCATGTGGCTGAGGATGGTTCTTCTTACTTAATATATATATATATATCTACATCCAGAAGATCCCAGCCTACCTGGACTGAAAAAAACAGGAGGTCTTTGTAGTTTAATGGTGTCTCTATAGTAAAAAAAACAGATAGTAATACATTTTATTTGTAAGCGCCTCTCAGAGCATTCCAGGACGCTTACAATAACATATATATGTAATAATTTATTAATGTACAACAGCAGAAAACAAGACATTTTCCTTTATTTAATTGTAAATATATCATAACAGTGAAAAATAGAATATTATATTAGTGAATCTATATTAAAAATGGAATATGTTCCACTTTTTGATGGTATATACATTTTAAAAGCAGGTACTTTGTATGGATTCAATTTAATGCTACATCTATAGAGATTAAACAGGTAACCTCATTTTAATGGTGAGGAAGGCGAAGGTTTAAAAAAAACAAAACAAGGAAGAAGTAAAATATATATCTTGATGGTCAATTGGGGAAAACAGACATTTTCTATTTTTAAACAAAACAAAACAGAATAATTCCTGGTATTTAATGGTGAATCTATGATAAAAATGGATATTGGCTTTTATTTAATGATGTATCTGCTATTTAATGCCAAATCTATGATTTAAAAAATGACATTTGGTAATATTTCATGGTGTAAAAATTAGTACATTTTCTGTTATTTACCTACAGTAAACACACACATTCTGTTATTTAACGGGATATCTACATTATAAAGCCTCTAAATGTTAAATTAATTAATTAAGTAATAGAAAATGTGCCTCCTTATCCAGAATTTGTCCTGTAATTTAAAAAAAACAAACAAATAATAATAGTAATTCTGTTACTTTATCCTTCAGTGACTGTAAATTTAAGATTATTGAGGGAATAAAAGTCGGGATTTCTGGACCTCTGCTGCAGAGTTAATGAAGTGATCGACTGATTCACTGGAACTCTTTTAAAAAGTGCTCAAATTGTGGAAAACAAGACAAATTAGTTCTAGGATGGACTAAAGTGACATTAAGTTCCCTCTTTAGCTATAAGAGTTATTTAAATCCCCCTTTAGAGCGTTCGGTTTCCAGCCTCATTGCTGCACACGACGGCTTTTCTATAAACACTCACTGATGTTCAAACACAGACTCTATTAACAACAGCGTGGGATCATCTGTGCGACTTTCTGCGGCGGCTTCGTGCAGCAGCGTCACCGTCCTGCTCAGCGTCTGCCTCTGACTCTGTGACACTGCGACCTTCATCATTGATCAGATCTTGTGTCACGTGTCGATTGGCCGCCGGCCATGATTGAAGCCCGCATCGATCCAACCAGTCTGTCTGCTGTTAGTGTTCAGATTCACCGAACCGGCTGCTTTTACATGTTTTCTGGTATTCTTGTTATCTTGTGCTGCTGCTGTTGTTTGCCATGTTGGGAAGTTCTGACCATAAATGTGGCAGCTGTGATTGGTCGTTGGTCCTCCATGTTAGTGCGACAGTGCTGATCTGAGGAGAGGATGTTGTGTCAGCGAGTGTGTTGAGGCTAAAGTCGGAGTTTTCAGTCTTTGTGAAGTAATCGGCTACTTCATGTTAGCTGATGCTGCAGGGCTCACCAAGACTTTGTTATAAAGAAAGTTTAAAAAAACACCATCTGATACCTGCTGGCTGTGATTGGGGTTCTAGGTTTTGTTAAACCAGCTTACACACAGAAAGTCTGGATTTGTTAAACCTTCTTCATGGTACACCCAGCTGGTTGGTCCCCAGCTTTGGTTTCCAAACTGAAACATCTCAACATTTCATACATAGATTGCTAAGAGATGTGAGATTGTAATAACTGTCACGATATTCTGACTTTTAATCCGTCGCATCATCAGCTCAGGATTTAAATTAATCCAGTAGTTTCTTGCTAAAGCTAAAGACGTTTCATCAGTCTCCGCTTTACATAAATGCATTCAAACTTGTGCATTATGAACATTTTAAACATTTAAAAGACTCTGTAAAATATGATTTTTCTCTGCATATACAAAACTCTTTGCAATGTCGATCTTTTCCTACATGTAGAATAGACCTGTGGTGCAATATCTGAACTTCTACATCTAGAAGAATTTGCACAACATCAACCGTACTTGTGAAATTTATTGTCTATTCTGTATTTTCCTGCTGATATTCCTACATTTTTCCATTATCCCCTTTGCTTCTGGAAATTTTCCTGCTGTAGCATTTATGAAGGATTAGCTTAGCTTAGCTTATCTTTGTGTTTAGTGCTAATTAGTGCTAGCATGCTAACAAACTGCCCCAGATGACAAACATGGTAAATATCGACATGTTAGCATGCCGACTACATCTCTTAGCAGCGCCGGGCCTGAACACAACCTCTCTGAGACGTTAGCGTGTCTGAACGTTTTCCGTCCTGCCGCTAACCGCTTGTGTTTGCTGTTCATTACAGAGGACACGTATGAGCGAACGCTGACGGTAGACGGAGAGGAGACCACGCTGATCGTCATGGATACCTGGGAGAATGACAAACTGGTACTGCATGTGTGTGTTGATAGACTACAGGTGTAGAACGGAAGTCTGTTTTAGATCCACGTAAGACAACAGCGACACGTTCGCAAACCTTTAGTCGGTTCAGACTAAAATGCTTCCCTTGTTGACCCTGATCAGGAGCGCCAGTGAGGCGTTTAAGGACATGAACCAACCACGATTGCCTGGAAAGCAAAAGCATCTTGACACAATGGGATCTTAGTCCACGAGTCTTTAGATTTCATCATGATAAATGTATAATTTTCAGGTTATTTCAGAGTAAATTGGACACAGAACATGAGATTATGAGCTCTAGTCACAGTGAGGTCATTCCGAGTCCGTCTACGTCTGTGAAGACTGTGTCGTTCACTGCTGTCAGACTTTTACAACAATGTGATGTTGCAGAGTTTGTCTTTTAATCTAATCCTGCATAGCCAGATCTATGTCCATTAGTGCTGTAGAATGGCACCTCAGGATTATTCTGTCATAGGGAGAGAAGAAAAAAAAAAAAAACAACCTCTGGCTTGTTTGTGTTTCTTTAAACTAGTCATAATTGTATTTCATGGAGCTGAGCCCAGGATGCAGCAGTGGTGTCCCATTAAAATGGTGACAGGGGATTGTTGTGGTGCAACAATGAGGCAAGAACTATCACTACGATTTATAAATAGCTGAATGAAGTGCTCCGTACTGCTCAGCCAAATCTTCTGCAGGGTTTTTAGAGTGTAGGTTGCTGCTGGGAGGTTTCCTGTGGCTAAGACGATTTTGAAAATGCTAACACATCATTAGCGACAGGTTTACACCTACAGCCTACTTGTACTTAGTCAGACTAGTCTTTATCTGATACACCTCTGAAGCTCAGGACAAACCCATAACACGCTGATGTTCCGGTTGTGCTGCTCACCCTGCTGCACAACAAAGACCAGAACGAGCACCTTAAGACAGAGCGGTTCATCCGTTTTTACAAAAGCATCCATTGAATTTAAAACTAAACAGGATGTTTGTCCTTCCCTTTGTTCGTGTCTCAGGAGGGGGAGGCGGCCTCCTCCCACAGCGACTGCCTGAAGGTGGGTAACGCCTACGTCATCGTCTACTCCGTCACCGACCGATCCAGCTTCGAGTCCGCCGCGGAGCTCCGCATCACGCTGCGACGCGCCCGCCAGGCCGAAAACCTTCCCATCATACTCGTAGGGAACAAGAGCGACTTGGTGCGGTCCAGAGAGGTCGCTGTAGAAGGTGGGGAGCACACAGACACCGACATGAGGGCTGATCAGAAGGTAGTGATGGTCTCTTTGTGCAGCGGTACTCTGCTCCCAGTGCTCCTGGAAACGTGTCCAGCTCCATCTGCTGAACTTCCTAAACTGAGCCCTTATTTGCTGCACATCTCTAACCTAAACTGCTGTTTCTTCTCCTGCTGGTAGCTGCAGACCCTCCTCTGGTCACCATGGTGATCCTCCAAGTTAGGGTTGGTGGATCCAGGTCCATGGAGATATCCCAAATGTGCCCCAGTCCTTTCTGATCAACCCTTGTTCAACAAAATGCTGAGTATTCATAGTCAGCTGATGCCCCTTTAGTAATTGGATCCCCCTCTGTGTTTTTTACCCAGAGGGCCGAGCGTGTGCGGTGGTGTTCGACTGTAAGTTCATCGAGACGTCGGCGTCTCTGCAGCACAACGTGGCCGAGCTGTTCGAGGGCGTGGTGCGACAGATCCGCCTCCGTCGGGACGGCAGCGAGGCCGTCCAGCGCAAACACTCCATCTACAAACGCAAAGAGAGCATTACCCAGAAGGCCCGGCGCTTCCTGGACCGGCTGGTGGCGCGCAACAACCAGCGCATGGCGGTCAAGGTGCGATCCAAGAGCTGCCACGACTTGGCCGTCCTCTGAAGGTCGTCCAGGAGGTTTTCTGACTCGTTGAAGGTCGATGTATCGTGGACGGAGGTGTTGATCTCTGAGACACAAACGATCATCAGCGACCTGAGACAGTCAAACACCAGCTGAGATCAGTGCGAGCAGCTCGCTTGAACATTTGGAGTCAAACTTTTTGTGACTTTTTCTCCAAATGACCGAAATATAAAAGACTGTAGAGGATCATCAGTGTTGGTTAAAGGTTGGATGAACGTTCAGTGTGTGTGTGTGTGTGTGTGTGTGTGTGTGTGTGTGTGTGTGACGGCGTCCTGCTGGTTTCTACTGTGTCCACTGTGCTTTTTCTTGAGGTTTCTACTGTTTTCAGTTCAACACTGTGCTAAATAAAGTCTTAAATTAACTTCAGCTCAACATCTTGTTTCACTGACGACACAAACACATTCTGGGTGTTCTGTTGGAGTCAAGTCAGGCCACATAAATGTCCAGGTCGCAGTTTTCACTTCTTTAGACACTCTTGCGTGATTTTGTTCTTCGGATGGTTCTCCTGCTGGAATGTTACTCTTTTATAAGCTTCTGCAGACTGAGAGTCATCTAGTCAGACGGTGTTCTGGTTTATCCTCCCCTCAGTTCTTCACTGTCAGGACGATGCCTCCACTGTGGTCGTCCTGGTCAGGTTCACACCAAACATCTGGACTCCATCTGAGCAGAACAAGTTTATCTTCATCTGAAAATGTTCTCCAGCATCCATCAGGCTTCTTTTCATGTTCTTCAGCAAAGTTTCATCTGGACGTTTTGCTCTGAGCAGCAAGCAGGTTTTTTTTTTTTTCTTGTCCTCCATCCACAGAGGTTGATGTTCTGAAGTGTCTGAGCTTCACACTAACTCTGGTTTCCATTGATAACTCCTGGACCAAGTCTGAAGCAGCTGGATCATTAAAGTAGTTCACTGTGTGTGGAGTCATTGTAGGAGGACGACCACTGCAGCCCTGATCAGTGCTACTATGGCTCCTTCTAGACCTCCTGGTTACTGCTCACACTGGGCTTCTCAGTCAGATTTTTCAGTTCCTCTGCTCAGTTCTTCTCCATGTGGAGCCATGATGCAGACATAGACACAGCTCATAGGTCCACAGCTGAGAAGGTTCTGCTGTTGGACTTGGAGATAATGCAGCTCCACGCGATTCAGTTTTGGAATCATGTGACATTTAGGTGACACTGCACAGGCTTGTACTCACTTCTGTCGTGTCCTGTAGCTGCGTGGCGCCTTTTTTAATCGTTTTCGTGACTTTTTTCATGCCGCGGTTTCATTTTCAGTTATTAATCTAATTGTTTTGTGTGTTTCGTCTAGCTGTAATCCCCTCTCTACAGGAGCTGCAGGGGTCAAAACGCTGTGCTCCGCTTCACATAAACAAACTGTCAGGCCTCCGGGATGTTTACCGTTGCCACGGAGACCGGCGGTCTGTTGAAGAAGAGGCTGTTTACTGAGCGGTCGCCATGGAGACGCAGTGGGTTGACAGAAAACAGGCGTGAACGGCAAGTTTGGAACGGTGTCCTTTAATGGGACTTTTCTGCCCGCGGTGCAGTCTGTCAGGCTGCAGACAAACATCTGAGCTAACATGTGACGCGGCTGGAAACTACCAACTAGTACTAGTACACACAACCAGAACTGCTAAATTACCAGCACGAATGTAAAAGTCTACTACGATGCTCGCAGCTCTGTCAGGCTGTTCTCCGTTACTTTACGCTAAATGCTAACATCAATATGCTAACATGTGCATGATGGTCACTAATGATAACGTTAACAAAATCAAGTGTTTAGATAAACAACCTAAAAACAGGACACCAAGAGGACAACACGACAACATGTGCCTGGCTAATTTAAATATTATTATTAGGGCATCGCAGTATGATTAATTATGCAAATTGACCCAGCTATTTTAAATATTAAGATGCAAATTTACTCAACTAATTCAAATGTTTAGGGTTGAGACGCTCCAGTTTTATGTAAAATACAGATTTACCTGACTGATTTAAACACTGAGGGGATTGTTTTTAAAAGACAATAGAATCATATAAATTATGCAAATATATCAGACTAATTGTAATGTTAAGATTATGCAAATTTACCTGAATAATTGTAATGTTAAAGTTAAGCCTTTACGATATTACTTTAAAAATAATAATAATAATAATCTGACTAATTTCCCTCGACTAAGGTTAAGAACAAATGTATCTAAGTAATTTAAATAAAAGGAATAGGTCCCTACAATATTGGTAATTATGGAAATTAACCTGAAGAATTAAAAATAAAAATTAAAAAATAATTTCAAAAAAAAAATTTAAAATGTAAATTTTTAGATTTTAAAAATAAAAATATTGTTTTTGTTATTTTATTTATTTGTGTTTATATGTCTACTTTTATTAGCCTTTTTATGGATCCATGTTTGATCAATATTGTCTTATATTGCCACATTTTTTATTTTTATTTATATTTCTTTTTATTTCCACTTTTGTTTTATTTTTCTTTAATTGATTTATTTTTGTAATTTGCCAGTCTCACTACTCCATAGCTAGGACCCTACAATATTATTAATAACACAAACATGCCTGACTAATTTAAATATAAGGATTAGGTCCCTACAATGTGATTAATTATGTAAATTAACCTGAATATTTAAATATAAAGGTTAAGGTTTTACATGATTATTAATAGCTCATATTTATCTGACTCACATAAATATTACGGTTAGGACTTTACAGTATTGTTAATTACACAGACATGTCTGACTAATTTGAATACTAAACCTACAACAGTAACGACTCTAACAGGAGATGTCTGAAGCTGGAGAATCAGTCACGAACAGAAATGTGGTTTTGCTGCTGTGAAATGACACGAAACTGGTTTAAACGGTGCTGCAGTTTATCTGGATCCCCACATCAGACAGACCGGCTGTCCTACTTTTTACTGATCGAATATCCTATCAGTTTATTGATCGTCCGTTTTGGTGGCACACATTCACCCTCGTGCACTCTGAGCGGCTGCACGGGGGACAGCAGATGGAGGAGGAGTGTCGAACATCGATTTGATGAGGCTAATGGAAAGAATGCTTGACTCTGCTCAACCCGGATGACACACACACACACACACACACACACACACACACACACACACACACACACACACACA